TACATCAGATGGGCACATGTCACCTTGGGGGAAGGGCAGAGCTGCCACCTCGAGGACAGTGGCAGCTTGCTCTCTGGGGTGTGCTTCGGGGAGCTGCAGAAGACCTCGCGGGATTCTTAACCCAGGGCAGGGAAAATAAAGATGGAAGAGACTTCCCGTGAAAACTAAATCTTTTCATCAGCCACATTGTGAGGTTCAGACAGTGGTCATCTGATCACTCTGGCAGGGAGGCATCTAAAAATCATAATTATATAAAATATGTATGTCTACTACCACCATAAAACCTTTTTAAAGATACATTATTGTACTTGCAGGTATTGACTAATGCTAATATGAAGTTGTTAAAAGTTGTTAGCAAGACATTTATGAAAACGCTTCTTCTTAAATTTGTTCATTTAAACTTTGAGGCCTCCTTTTAAGATATATATATTTGTGTTCATGTTTTATAGTATGCATGATTTATTGGCACAGTACATATGTAATTTACAAATATACATATAGCGGGAATACTTTGCAAAACTTTTTAATGAATGGATGTGTGATCAAAAAAGTTTGGAGCATAAATGCTTTTCAAATAATTTAAAGATACGAGATTTACATTATTTAGTTGTTTTATTATTTTAAGTATACAACTTAAATGTCTTACACATTATTTTGTTATAATGCCCTGATGTTAAATAATGGTTTCCAGTTGAAACGAAAAGACGTGAAATATAGTGGAATTAATCAAATTATAGAATCATTCATTGCTGGTGAAGAAAAGGTTCATAGCCAAGATCTTTGGGATATAATAATAGTAATAATAATAATAATAATTCCACTCATTTGTGGGGAAGCTGGGCCTAAATCCAAGTGAGATAGGAGTTATAAAATATTCCTTAAGAAGTGCTTCTTTAGTAATTTTGAGTACAGGTAAGAAGAAACCAAGGTAATGGTGTTTTGGCAAATCTTTTAAGCACCTTCATTTAACAGATAGCTGAGAATTATTTATCATTACTATGTCCATTGTTGAATGAGAGTCAATACCAAAGTGGTGCTTGAACATGGTCTGTTTCCATCTTACATGTAAATAGGTTAGACATGTGCTTTGTTCACACCGTTAACTTGTTCTCACACAGCCTGCAAAGGTAACCATCCGCTCAGAATCAATCAGCGGGACCAAAATTAACGAGGTTTTACTGTACTGGGCCATTTCCACCGTAGCCAGTTCCCTTCACACGATCTGGACCAGCGTTTTCTTAAAAGAAGAAAAATTAGATTTATTTTAATCCACATTTAAAAAGCAAAAAACCATCTTCTCTTGTGAGTTAAGTACCTCTAATAACTATGCTTTCTTGGGCTCAGTAATATTGATTTTTTTTTTGTTTTCAGTTTTGATTATTTTGGCTGTTTCCAGACTGTCGCATATTACAGTAAAGCTGGAGTTAACTCTTCGGATGCTTACTTTCATTCACAGGGGCAACGCGTCATTTTTATTGTGGGTAGAATGTGTCATTTGCCAAGTTTCATCATTATTGAACGATATGAAAGAAGAGCAGGACTTTTCTTTAAGACATACTTATGTAAATATATGTGTTATAGAGAATCCATCATGTGGAAGCAAAAAGCTAGAATTTTTGAAATTGTAGTTCTTTGTTTCCCTTCAGAAAATTACATCTACTTATTAAAGCAGATCGTATGATACTATTTAATATTTGGTGTGCATATCCTTTATTTTTACTAATAAGAGTGATATTGTAAAGCTTTGAAATCTTTTTATGAAGATGGATTGTGTTTTCTTGAAGTTTTGAAAGTGTCCACCTGCACATACGTGGGGAGGGAATAAGTTTGGACAGTGAACTTGCAGGATTTGATGCAGAAGGTCAGCTTTCCTCATAGGAACGGGAAGCCTTTCTTCCTTGTTTGTTTAATGTGAACAGTTACAAACTATAGTGAGACATATTTGTCAGTTTTCTGTGATCTCAAATGTTGCAATCTACCAACAGATAGTAATTTGAGGAACACTGAACACAGTAAAGAATATTGGTAAAAATGCACTTTTTTTCAAAAAAAAAAAAAGGAGAAACAAACTTTGCCCCACTCGTGCCTCATTTTGTCTACTCTTTGAAAAGGAAAGCTGAGAGTGTGTGAACATGAATGAAATGACAGTGGACTTGGGGCTAGCAGGTAGGCTAGTTTAGGAGTATAGCTTGAACTCAGAATTAGCTCATTCTAAAGAAGATGTTGGAGAGTTTGAGTCTAAGTAGCAGAACAAAAGCGAGTGACGGGTGCTGTGCCTGCTGGGGCAGATCACTGTCTGCCTGACGTGTGTGAACAGATGGAGAGGTAATGCTGTTTAGGAATTATTCTCTTTAATCTTTTATTTTACAGTTTCAGTTGACCTTCAGTGTTATGTTGGTTTCTAGTGCACCACACAGTGAGTTGACATTTAGATAACTTATGTAGTGATTAGTCTGGTAAGTTTAGAACCAGGGCTATGGGAAATATTCTTTTAGTTAATCACACGCAAAGAAAAAGATCGCTGTTAAATTTCTGTTTCCTCTGATGAAAGAAATACATTAAATGACCACTTTTTGGCAGATGAGTGTTGCAAAATTGGAAACAGCAGTTAACCATGAATGTAGCATATCATTCCTTTTTGTAAGTTGAATGATGGATACATTTGATAAATACAAAGCCAGCACTAATGGTAATCTGTAGAAATGCAAAGCATCCAGTGTGTTATCCTGGGTTAGCAATGCATGTCTGGTGAAACTCCCAAATGTTCTATGCAGTGGGAGATAACTGAAAATAAAGGCATATATTATTATGGTATATATTTCACCCTGTTTTATTCTAGCATTGCCTGTATTTAAATGAATTTGTTGTAGTTTGTCACTTCATTTTGACTTATTGCTTCATTATAAAGCTAATCTTTGTGTGCCACAAGTCACCTACCCTCCCGTTCCTTAATATATCCCTTTAAAGAAAAATCATGTTATGTGTTTTAATTGAATGCTTATTAGGAAACATGAACTAAGGAAGCTTAACAAACGCTTGTTTAAGAAAGGTCTAGATGATGTTTTAATAAAGGTTTATAACATGATCTTTCTGAATTTAATTTTAACTTTTAAAATTAATAAACACTTGCTATTATATTTATTATAGCATTTAAAACACCCATAAAACAAAAAGTACAAATAAAACAAACACAGAACAAAAAGCTAAAACACCTAAATTTAAGAAAAAACTTAATGGGTAAATCTTAATATCTTTGTTTTATTAATGTTTGCTTCATTCGAAAATTGATTGTAGGTTTTTTTCAAAAAAAGAAACATTCTTCAGTAGGATTAAAAATAAAGCTACCCATGGTGAAAACAATGAGAGGAGAACGTAGACAAGGCCACTGAGACTTCACACACAGAAACGAATGTCCAAGATCTGGTGCTGTTACGGACAGAAAACTGAGACCTGAGTTTCTTAGTAGCCAAAACATAAAAGGAACTAGTTATAGCAGTTTCCCCAAAAGTGTGTTCTTCAAAAACTAGGTCTTGCCCTGGCTGGTGTGGCTCAGTTGGTTGGGCGCTGTCCTGCAAACTGAAAGGTCACTGGTGCAATTCCTGGTCAGGGTGCATGTCTGGGTTGTGGCTTGTCCCCAGTTGGAGCATGTTTCTCTCTGACATCAATGTTTCTCTCCCTCTCTTCCTCCTTTCCCCTCTCTCTGGAATCAATAAAAAGAAAATTAAAAAAATTAAAAAGAAAACCTAGCTCTTATAAGATTACCGTAGTCACCTACACTTGGAGGTGAGTGCTGGTGTGTCCTTCTTGTGCAGATAATTATATGCACATCCGCATGCCACAGGCTCTCGGAAGCTCTGTGGATAAAAATGATCGTAACTTGTGTTTCCCATTGTATATTTGACCATGTCCTCCCTTAAAAAAAAAGCTGCTATCTGTCAGCATTTCTCATTCAGTGAGATACACCAGTCAGTGAGCTGTTCTTTAGCTGAGAGAACAGGCTGTTCTGCTTAAGGGAAGCCCGGCAGGCTGAAGTTTGAGAGGCTTCCCCCGTGGGCGCCATAGCAGAGGTAGTGTATGTATGTGCAGAGCAGTGAGCCTCTTCCTCAGTAAATACCCACAATATATACAATGACGAGTTTTAAGGCAGCTGTTTCATATGGTTTCACCTTAGTGTGAACTAAAAGCATGGTCTCCTAAGTCGCTAAAAAGCTAAGCTTTCAATTGCTTATCAATTGTCTGAAAAAGTGAAAGACTTTAATTTTTAATTTCCCAGGTCGTGGGGTGTGTTTTCTGTTGCTAGTGGAAAATCTTTACCATCTTTGTTCCATTATTTATATTTCATCTTGTTCTAAAAAGGAATGGAAGGACCCAAACTGGAGAAGAGCAGAAAGGACGCAGCAGACTATTTTAATTGGCTGCTGTGCATTGCAGCGGTGGTGCACCTGCTGACATTTTAGACAGAAGCTGCGGAGCGTGTCTGCTGATGACACAGAGTATCTGTGCTTCTTCAGAAGCGGCTGTGGCCGAGGGACCGTGAGGGCATTGTTTTTGAGCACAGGAGCAGGGGAGGGCCTGGGTCTAAATGACAGTCACAAACAGAAAGAAGCACCGGGGAAAGCAGCCCTGGCAGCTAACAAAGGCAAGTTCACACTGTGGAAAGAGAACACAGAATAACAGATCAATTTTTTCCCCCGGCTTTGCCTGCTCATATACAGCAGTCATCTTAGTAAGGTCATCTCCACACTTAACAGCAGATTCTCCAAAGCATCTCTCCCACCCTTAATCTAGGATTAATTCAGCATTTTTTTTTAGGGTTGTGATGATCGAACTGGGTGTTTTACGTATAACATAAAGGAACGTATTTTCAACACAACCAGGTATCGTGGTCGGTTTTCAGGAGTAGCGACTGCGCACTTAATTTTGATTTAAGTTGTGGGGGACAGGATCCATTTTATTCTGAATGGGATCTAAATATAATTAAGGTTCATTCTCCTTTTCAGGCAAGAGTGCAGCATTGCGTCTGCTCTGTGGCCAGTGACCACTCAGTGGGACTCCTGAGTCTGCGAGAGAAAAAATGCATTATGCTGGCGTCTCGTCATCTTTTCCCCATTCAAGTGATTAAGTGGAGGCCGTCTGACGATTACCTGGTAGTGGGGTGCTCAGATGGCTCTGTGTACGTCTGGCAGATGGACACTGGTAAGAACAAGTGTGGAGAGAGAGACTCGGACTTTGCATGTGTGCATTCGATTTCCTAGAAATTAAAAATCTTTTATATGAGGGGGAAAAGCCCTGAAATGTAACAAGATCGCTACTTTTCTTTTCCATCACTGCTTTTTCTAAGTGTTGTACTACACTAAATATTGGGGGCTGGCCAATCTTTAAAGGGATGTAATTGAACACAATATACACATTAGGATAGACATACGGGTAATAGACAAAAAAAATCAGTGATTATATGTAATTTATGAGGCAAAATGTGAGCAAGATAAAGAAACCATTTTTTGTCTCAGATTCATAAACAGTGGGAAAAAGAGAAAATCTTTTATTTGAATAGTAGAAAATCAATACTGGGCAGTTAATAGTAGGAGGTTGATTGACATGAAAGTTTTAAGTTCTAGAGAGATTTAAATATCAGTTTCAAAGATTTTATGTATAGGGCATAATATAGAACAAGTAATGCTTAGCTTAAAAGTATAGGCAGCGATATATCATGTTGAACATAGTATCTCCTTGTCCCTGGGAAGTCTTTAAGTATGTACCTAAATGTGTTTATTCGTTTAAGTTTTTAAAAACACATTTTAGTCTAATTAAGTAATCAGGCACTAGTGATTAAAACCTTCCTTTCCTAGTTGTACTGCATAATATTTCTACTAAATGCTTTTCCTTCGCTTCATCTTATTTGTTGGTTTGAAACGGTTCTTGTTGAAATCGCAGCATGTACGCATTTCTGCCTGCACTGTGGTCCAGCCGGAGTTCTCTTAACCGCTGTCGTTGGACCAGAGCTGAGCTCTCGGCGACCTTTTCTTTCAGAGTTCTCACTTTAACTGCCAGAGCAAAGGCAGCCTTGAGAAGACGGAGCCTTCCTGGGGGTGTCAGACGGCTTTTGCATCTATCTTTTCTTTTTGTTCTCTGATCATGCAGGAGACACATACCTCTTGTCAAATTTTAGAGACAAAAAGTATTAGAAAAGGTGAACCCAGATTGCATTGCTGAGTGGTAAACGTTAACATTTTGGCATATTTTTTCCTCGTCTTATTCGTGTGCGTTTTTAAAGCCAGAGTTGCTGTCATATGACACATGTGACTTTTACGCACGAAGAGTGTGCTTTGGGGTCCTTTGGCTGCATCCCGTCTGCCGCACAGCGCAGGTTTGGGTCTGCCGACTTGGTCCGCCCCAGCATCCAACTGAGCTGGGTTTGCCTTTGGCTCTGGACTCGCCGCTTGGTGTGAGTTTAGAACTGACCACTCACTGGCACCGTGACCTGCAAGTCCTTCTGTCCCTCAGCTTTAAATGAAAAGTGAAGACAGGAATAGTTCCTGTTTTCCAGTGTTGCTGGGAGAATGAAATGTCACAATGTCCACCTGTGGCACAGTACACGTAACATGTGTATGTGTGCGTGTGCTTGGGTACATGTAGGTTTCTCTGTGTGTACATGCGTGTGTGTTATTGAAGCAATGGGCTGCTTGACCTGTTACTTTGTTGAACTTGGGATTATACAACCTTTAGAAATATATTCTTTGGAAATTAATATTAAATAAAGTTCTTCGAGCAATAATGACATCATAAAGTGCTCTTTTGAAATACTAAAAATATTAGTGAAGTATTGTTATATCTTAGATACAAAACTATGGTAAACTTGCCTAGGACTTAAAAATGAAATACATATGATAAAGGAAGGTGGTATTTATAGTGTTCCTGAATTTTTCAGACATATGCGTAAGTAATGACACTTGAATATTTCACATAGTTTAAATTTTATATTCCTTACTAAAGACAAAGTTACTTTTCCAGGAATTTCCCTAGAAGGAAATGACAGCTGGCCCCCACAGGCATGCTGGGAAGTGTTATTCCCATAATTAGCTTAGTATAATTCAGCCCATTTTAGATTACACAATATGTAATATTGAACACTCAGAATTCTGACCTTCGGGAGGGTTTTTGGTAAACTCTTAGGCATAGCGCGGCCAAACTGAGGTAACCGTGGAGCAGCAGAATTTATTTTGGACATCAACCGCAGTGGGGAGTGTGCACACTCTCTCTTCCTCCTCGCTGCTCAGGCTTTAACTAGGGATGTGAAAGTCTCCGGGGAGTCAGTCAGGCACATCCGGGAGGTATTCGCATTATTTATTTATTAAATTTATTTATTTATTAAATAAATTAAAAATGAGGCTACATAAATCAGTTTCAGCCGAAGTTTGATGCATGGAGTGGATTAAAACTCCGAGGAGGTGCTTTATCCCTCTTCTCAGTGTTCCGGGAACGTATTTTTACAAGTGAAGCCGCCCTGCACCGAGACTGCTCATGCACAGCGTGTATTTTCTGTCTGCCGTTGAATTATGCTGGTGCTTCTACCTCGTGAACACTTAAAATGGTATTTTCTGCCCTGGCTGGTGTGGCTCAGTGGATTGAGTGCCAGCATGAGAACCAAAGGGTTGCTGGTTCAATTCCCAGTCAGGGCACATGCCTGGGTTGCACACCAGGTCCCCAGTAGGGGGCTCACAACAGGCAACTACACATTGATGTTTCTCTCCCTCTCTTTTTTCCCTCCGTTTCTTCTCTCTAAAAATAAATAAATAAAATCTTTAAAAGATGTATTTTCTTTATACTTTTATGTGTCACTTTCTTTCCATTGTTTTCCCCTTCAGATGGGAAAAACAATCTGCAGTATTCACTTCCTAATGAAATGAGTTTGGAGCTAGTCATATAAAAGTTAAGTAGAGAGAAGTTCAGAATCTTTTGTTCTTTTATTGTGTCATCTTTATTAAATGCAAGAGTGGTGTGGATGCCATGGCAATTGTTCTTCTGTCACATGTCGGGGTAGTTAGAAGATGAGTCAAACCACAAGCCGCAGGGTATGGCCAGGGGAAACTCTACCCCTGCTTAGGAACTCACCGAAGGTGGGCCACGGGCCTGGACGGTGTCTGCCTCCACCTGGAGCTGTTCTGTGCTCCAGCCACATCTTCTCCTGTCATGTTCCCCGTAAGCAAGCCTTTGCCACAGGCCTTTGCCAAGGTCAAATCCTGTCTGTTTGGGACATCGTGACATGCTTTAAATAATGACTGGTGTTACAAGATGTTCTTTTTATCTGAACAGTATGAAGCCTCAACAGCATCCTCATCTGCCCATTTTTATCATCTTTACTGGGTAACGAAAGGGACTTTCACATTATAAGCCTATTTCTGTAAGGACAGTTATTAGGTGTTTTCTGTACAAATGCAAACACCAAGAGTGCTTGCCAAATACTACTACAAGTTAGTGTATGAAGTCTTGTCAGTTTACTTTGTTCTGTTATCATTTTTTAACATGTATTCTCTGTCCCTCCAGGTTTTTGAAAATATTCTTTTTTTGGTATTTATTTCATAAGTATGCATTTGTTCATCTTTTTAAACTTTATTATTTAATAACATGTAGCACAGAGTTATGAATTAATATATGTTTATGTCTACTTAAAAGGGCATATAAGGCATGGATAACCAAAAACTTTTTAAAAATTGTACTTTTTGAACATCTTGGTAAAACCAAGTATAATCAGAGAGATGTTTTCCCCTCTCTGATGACTCACTCTGGAATTTTGAAGGAAGATGTTGTCAGAGTAGAAGTACATCTGTCTTTACTACCTACACCCGCCCCTTAGGACCCTCATGTGCAGTTAATTACTAAGCCCTGCCCATTAGGTACCCCGCCCTCCCTCCTTTCTTTCCCATGTATCATTAACTTAGCACAGGTGTGAAAAAATAGAGCCCTGTTGTTACTGGTTTCTTTGTCTTCTTTTCTTCTTTTTTAAAAGGATATTTTCTTTTAAAAAAGATATTTTATTATTTTTAGAGAGGGAAAGGGAAAGAGAAAGAGCGGGAGAGAAACATCAATGTGTGGTTGCCTCTCATGCGGCCCCTACTGTGGGGCCTGGCCCACAACTCAGGCACATGCCCTGACTGGGAATCAAACCACAGTGGCCTTTTTCTTTGAAGTCTGGTGCTCAATCCACTGAGCCACGCCAGCCAGGGCTATTTTTCCTTCTAACCCATCCTTACACCGCTGGCAAATCAATTTTAGGAAGTAAAACAACACTTGGTTTATACCACCGTCTTAATGGGTAAAAATCCCCCATAATTTTAGGTCACATAGCCTTTAAGACGAGGTCCTCTACTGTGTGGTCCGCCCCCCTTGTCTTTATCTCCTGCTGTTCACAGACCACATGCTCTGTGTAAAGAGTAATTCTAGCCCACAATGACTGGGTCACTCTTTCCTGTCATCTGTGTTGTTCATGGGTTTTACTCATTTGGAATGTTGTTCATTCTATTTGCATGTTTCTTTAATCTGTTATATTTTAAGGAAATTTGAATAGTAAAAACAAAATCCTACATACTTACCCATGTTGTTTTTATTCCTGTTGCCTAATATTAAATATTTCTCATAGGTCTATAAGTGATGAATGCTTTCTTAACTTTTAAGATGGTTTTTTCTGGGTATAGAATTCTAGGTTGATTTCTTTCTTTTATACTCTTTCGTCTTGTATTATTTCCAGTGAGAAATCTCCCTTATTTTTGTTCCTTTTTGTATATGTCGTGTCTGCTTTTCTTCTAGTTGCTTTAAAAATTTTCTCCTTATTTTGGTTTTCAGCATTTTGATTGTAGTTTTATTTGTATTTCTTGTGTGTAGGGTCATTGAATTTGTATACTAATGATACTTTTTAAAATTTTTTAAATTTACAAATAATCAAGTAAATATGTCTGGGTGTGTATATGTATACATAATAGCTGTGTATATAAAATAGATATGCATATGAATATGTGTATCATTACTGGTATATACTAACTGATAGCATATATGTAAGTTTATATTATTGTATGGTATGTTTATTTAGTATTAATCTTAGAATGAGAGTTGCTGTGTTAAAGGAAACGTGAATTTTAAATTTAATAGCATTTGTCAAGAAAGAGTTGCTAATTTTCAGTTATACTAAAAGTATTTTACCAGTTTCTTCATACACTTAAGGATGCTAAATGTCTATCACGGTAAGACATAAGTGATATTTCATTATTGCTTCAATTTGGATTTCTTTATTAGTGAGGATGATGTCTTTTCATATGACTGCTACCCATTTCTATTCTTAACTGTTCACATCCTTTGAACATTACTGAAATCCCACTAGTGAATACACACTCTCCTTTTCACATAGACACAAAAAGTTTCAGCTAACAATTTCTTCTTTTGCTTTGCCTTCCAAAATACGTTGGTCAACACTCAATAAACTGCTTTATGTCAATACTGAGACCACGGAGAATTATCCTAGGAGTTGCCGTGGACAGAGGGCAGCTAGTCGGGACTCAGCGTCTTGAAGGGATGGGGCAACCCTGACCGGCATGTGTGGAACCACCCAGCGTTGGGGAGACTGCATATGTTTGGACGTTTGGGCACTAGCTCAAAAGCACAGTAAAATTTTTGTATTTCATTGATATTCCAGTTCCTGGTGTTCTCCATGGTTATTTTTCAAATTGACCTGTCTTCTTTTAGAATGACTCTGGAGAAATGCTCAGTGAAACACAATAAACTCCATTATTATTTTATTGTCATTATTATAATCTTCAGAAAAATACATGCAGATCCTCACGAGGCGAACCTCCTCAGCCCAGTGCGGTGCTGTGTACCACGCGTGACCCAGTGCGCAGAAAGGGCACCCGTGACTGAGCATGACTTCGCGCCCTCACTTGCACATGAAATGCATAGTTTGGGGGTAAATGGGACATGTCACCAAATAAAGACGCTTTGAAGTGGCTATAGCTGACATAGTAGTTACTTTTACAAACACACCGGAGAACATATGATTGGGTGTGAAGAATAACAGTCAAGACGTTTTCAGATTGAATGAGAAGCTGTATATTTTTCCCAGTGGTGTGGAGATATGCTAGAGAAAGAAAACCTTCAGGAATTGTAGCAAAACTTACTTTTTTTGTTGCTTAAGATTGATATACAACTCAGAATAAGGTAAAGTCATGGAATTTCTTGTTTGTAGTAAGAGTAATGGTGTGGACTGAGCAAGGTGGCCATCTTGGGAGCAGAAAGAAAGTAGAACAGCCTGGGGGAAGTTGTTAACATCTTGGTTCTGAACTTGACTTTGTTGGGAAGTTGTGGTAGGGGCCGTAGGTGAGAGGAGATGGTACAGGTAACACTACATGGGAGATCGTTAGAGGAAGGAAGTACAAGAAAATGTTCCTTGGAGGCACTGTTAAAACATACTCCCACGTAAGAAATGTCCTTGCATTTATTGTCTTCAGCCATTTAACATTTTATGGTGTGTGTAATAGTTGCAAACATACGTACGTCTTGCAGGCGCCTTGGACCGTTGCGTGATGGGCATTACAGCCGTAGAGATACTGAATGCTTGTGACGAAGCAGTCCCTGCCGCGGTGGACTCGCTCAGCCACCCCGCGGTCAACCTCAAGCAAGCCATGACCAGGCGCAGCCTGGCCGCTCTGAAAAACATGGCCCACCACAAGCTGCAGACCCTGGCGACGAATCTCCTGGCCTCCGAGGCGTCCGACAAGGTGAGTTCTGTGCGTGGGCTCGTGTGTGTTCCTTTTTTTACTTCGTTTAGTGGCATAGCTCTGTCGCGTCTTAGGGGATAGTTTTGGCAGATGACATAGGTGGAAAGTCAGCTTCTTGTTGTTATTTAGGTTCGGCCGACATAAGTATTACAAGTATTCGGCATTTTGAAAAAGGAAATTATATTCTTACCATGAAACATCTTTTAACAGGATTGCTACTGTTAAGTGACTTCAGTCCCTAAAGGGAGAGCAGACATTTTACACAGAATCTGTCTTTTCAACTTTCCGATAGCTTTCCTTTTGAAAGATGGAGCACTGGCGAATGTCTCCAGGAGAAAAACATCATAATTTAGGTACACCATTGAGATGCCTGCAATTGTGGTCCAGCAACTGGTTTCAAAAGCAGGTCCTGACTTTAGTAAAATTGGGCCATTACAAGGATTGAGGAACATGTTGGAGACCGGTCCGGTGGAGCTATACCCAGACTGACGTTTGTACTGATACCCAAGCCCGGTCACACGTTCCCTGCTGGCACTTAAAACCAACGCACCTGTTTCTTTCTCCGTTGAAAGAGCGTTAGCCTCCCGAAAGAACCAACGTCCCAATGCATTAATTGGTTACTCACCTTTGGTTTTGTAGGGGCTAGCCACTCTTTGGTTCACGGTGTGTTCTGTGATACAATTACAATCAGTTTGTCTCTGGTGACGGGTAGAGGAAACCTAGAGCCAGTCCCAGTATTTTACAAGTCACTGCCGAAAAGTCCTGTTTCCATCTAAGTGTTCACTAGACTCACCAAAGGGTGACAAATACTTTTGTTTTCATTCCCTCCTATTCCGAATTCCTATTTTTAATGAATAAGTGGTGGTGAGGTTGAAATGCTCATCTGCAAGCCTGGGAATCTGTCCGTGAATGAGCGAGTGCTGATTAGCATCTGACATACCGTAGGTGGCCCCGCTGACCCCCGCCCCCCACTAATTGGCAGTAATGTTTGGTCATTCGGTCCTTTCCGCAGATGTGAATGTTTTATTGGCTTTGTTATATTGCATGCCTCATAGATTGAAATAATGAAATTCTTCTGTGCTTTTCTTCATGCCTTCAGTCCCGTGCTCGAAAGTTTGAGTAGAAATCACAGCTTAAATTCTCCATGCCTATGGTTTTTTTCAAGAGATCATGTAAATGTCCCTAGGAATTCAGTGTTCATAGCACATTTTATCTCTATATAATTTCGAGAAAATATATGAAACAGTACATTTAAGGGCAAGCATATATGACATGTAATATCCAAATATATTCTTGTCCTGGCTGGTGTCCCTTGGAAGTAGGCTGTTTGAAAAGCAACTATGTAACTGGAAAATTAAAGACAGGGAAGTGGCGCGGCAACATTTATGAATGACTTTTGCAAGTGGTCACGGTCCATTATGTGATTTTTACAATCTTGTTTGTCCCTGTTTTAATAGTGTATTTTATAGTGCAATTAGTGATAAAAGCACCAGATATCAGAGGCACTACACTTATGTATTGTAAAATATATTGCTTGCGAACCTCCTCAGCCTTGTAGCAGTGGTAATTGTTGCCTGGCCTACAAGGAAAACAATTATAGGAGGAGGAAAGACTCAGGAAGCCGAGGCTGCAGAAGGATAATCACTTTATGAAAAATGTATGTTGGCCGGACCATTAGGGATTTCTCTAACTATTTTCTCGTGTTGAATTTGAGGCTCCCTCAGAGGGGAATGTTTAAAGAGCTGTCCTCTGGATGGTTTTTCTAACCTCAGGAGAAATAAAACCCACCCGAAGTTACAAACAAACAAAAAACTAAGAGCTTCTCGGTGCAGGACTTACTCTAGGGCATTGGAACTAATTTTTTCACGGGTTTCTCAGCGGAAAGTCAGATCTCGATAGGAAGACACTATAGAAGTGCCCTGCTCTGTTCTTGTTAGGACATTGTTAGCAATCGGGCTATTTAGAAGGAATGTGTATTTTATATTGCTAGATTATTATAGTTATGTAAACAAAAATAGAGAAGTGACTGCCCTATGACTTTGTCTTCCACAAGAAGGTCCAGAAGACAGTAAGTAGAATCGTCCTTTCTTACCGCATCGAATCTTCGCGGTAAGAAATCCGGACCCTCCCCACTGGAACCCAGTGCTCCCACCTCGCAGGCAGGGATCATGGTTCATTCATCTCGGTGTTTTCCCCATGACATCTGGCCGCAGACCTGCCGGGAGCGCGCACTGAGCTGGATGACGGGGAACAGGAAGCGTTGCTGGCCTCTGCTCCGGCCTCTTTGCGCCCCATCTTCTCCATTCCCTCGGACTTGGTTGTCTTGACTTGCCAGTCCAGTTTACCGTACTTTCATGAGCGTGGGACCTAGAGCATTTAGGAATGGCTCCCTCCCGTCCAGCTTTGCCGTCTCCTCTTTGGCTTGTTGAGCAAGGTCGTGTGGGCATGCCTCGTCCTCCCCATCCTCCCTGTTGCCGTCGCTGTGTGGTCAGTGTGCCAACACACCCTGGACTCCCCTCAACGGCATCCTGTCCTTTGCTCCCGCTCCTCGTGGCTCTGGACCAGGGCTCCGCAGCCTCAGAGCTGTGCTGCACTGTGGGCTGCATAGTTCTTTGTTGTGGGGGCCGTCCTGTGTCATGTAGGATGTCCGCCACCCACTTCACACCAGCAGCATCTTTTCTCCCCAGGTGTGATAATCCAAACATTTTCTTACGTTGCTAAGTGCTCCCTGAGGGTCAGAGTTGCTTGTAGTTTAAAACCTCTGCTTTGGGGGGAAAAGGTTGAGAAATGGTGGGAGGCTTTGTCTTATGTCCGGTCTTTCTTTTCCCTCCCCACTCCCATCCTCGCTCTAACCCCTCTCCTCCGTGAGGACGGCGGAGCCGTTCTAGCTGCCCTCCCTCTGTCCCTGGGGCAGAACGCGCTCTTGCGCTTTCTCTCCGTGCTCACACCTGCCTGTTCAGACCTTTCCTAAAGCACCTCACTTTGGTGGGGTATTTCTTTTTCTCTTTAGCTCCCCCTTCCATATTGGGTTCTGAGAGTCTTGAGGACAGGACGTGAGTTTCTCATCCTTTTCTTGTCAGCACTTAATGTAGGATGTGCAGCATAGTAAGTAGCCGAGAAAGTTAGTACGGAGTTAGCTTGGAGGCGCACACCAGAGTCATGCCGTATGGTCAGCTCGAGTGCAAAGCTGAGGACTTAACACAATGGGTCATGACACAATATTGAGTAGTCTTTTTTAAAAAATTTCACCAAAGTTAAAATCTTTTAGTCATCAAATATCTCATTAATAAAATGAGAAAGTGAGCCTCAGACTGGTAAAGAAAATTAGCAACACACATCTGATGATTTTGTATCAAGAGTATGTAAAAAACTTCAATAAACCAGTAATTAAAAGATGAACAATCCAATATTTCATGTTTTCAAAGAGCATAAATTTACATTTCAGAAAAGAGAATATATAAGTGGTTAATGAGCACATGGAAAAGCATTCAATGTCATTTAGACATCAGGAAATGCACATTAAAACCACAATGAAATGTTTCCAATCCACTAGAATACTACTGTGTAATTTTTACAGGATATTTTTATTAAAGATACATGTTGCCGTGCCCGACACTTGTACGCAGGGGTCGGAAGTGTGTCGGGAGACCACCAGGGTGACTGAGCGCAAGGTGGAGGGGCCGGGCTGGGATTCATGGCAGGAGTGTGTTGTGGGGGGGGTCGGGGGGCGCAGAAGCTGTTGTGGGGGCCGAATAAATAGCACTTGGCAAGGGAGCAAGACAAGAGGGGAGATGCACAGGATGGCTCCACAGACCCCAGTCTGGTGGGAGGGAGAAGGGCGAGCTGTTAACAGAAACGAACGTCTCCTGGGCCAGGCTGTGAGGTCGATGGTAGCAGGAGACCTTTGCCTCTTCTCTGGGGTGTGTGCAGGGGAGCAGACACCTCCAGGGGCAAAGCGACCTGACGGTGGGATGGAGAAGGGATGGGATTTTGTTTCCCTGAACAAATGCTGGAACGCAGGACCTGAGACCGCAGTTCATGTTTCGGGGCGCCCGCTGTCATCAGACTGTTCCAGATTTGATGTCCTCCTTAATTCTCTCTGAAAATTTGTGAGTTAGCTCCTGTTGTCCTCAAGTTTGCAAATGATGAACCTGAAAGACAGTTGGTTAGAAAGAGGATTGGCATCCATTTTCGGGAAAGGGCCTCGTGGGACCGTACGGCCGAGGCCTCCGCCGGTCATCTCTGCCCCTGGTGCGAGTGTGGCCCTGCACTGCAAGTGAGTGAGTGTGTGCGACCAGCCCCCGGGAAACTTGATTTGCAGAAATAGGTGACAGGGTGGATTTGGCCGCCGGGTCGTGGCTTGCTGACCCCTGCTTTAGAAGGTGGCGTTACTAGTATGAAGACTGTGGGCACAGTTCTCCCCCAGAACAGCCTGTGGTTCACTGTAGAAAGCAGTTCAAAGGAGTGGGCGAGAGCCTGGGTGCTGGTGACGGGCATGTGTGCGTGCACCTCTGTGACTTGCTGCCTGCCGGTGACCTTGGGCAGGTGACCTCCAATGGCCTCGGTCACACACGTAGTTGAAAACAAATCTTTTTAAAGGAAGCAAAAGTTGGGACTTGAACAGAGAAACGAAGTAACAGTAAGACTTGGGGAAGAAAAAGTTTGGGCGTAGTAATTTGGAAAGTCGTTGGTGACCACGGACAGGGCTGCATTGGAGGTCAGGGCACCAGAGCCGGAGTGAGTCAGAGGTGAGCTGGAGGCTGAGAGGGGAAGAAGTTTGCTTTGGGAGAAAAAATGGAGTCGGCGTTCTAGTGGCCATCGGGTCAAGAGCAGCCTTTATACTCTGTCTAGGAGCTTCCCGGTGTTTTTGTTGGTGGAGGAGTCGCTGGCAGAGTTGTGGGAGAGGGCGTGTGTTGAGAACAGAGCTGGAGAATTCACTCTCACCAGCCACTGCTTCTTATAATCAGTAATGCTGACAGGGAGGGAGGTGAACGGAACCA